TTAATTTTTGTATGCAGAATAAACGTGTGGAGAGTTTGGCCACTAAGTGCTCTGTGGCAGTAGTTACTGGGACTGAAGAAATTGGTTGTGCAGGCCCTCCGGGGAACACAGCATGGGCCAAACCGGGAAGGATGTGGTTATTCTCTGAAATATCTTGCCCTATCAGAAGTTTAAGTGCAGGAAAGTTGGATGATTCTTTTTATTTCCCCAGAAAGTTCTCATCTGCTTCACTATGGGGATGAAAAGGAGCAGATCTCTTTGGTAAGAGGATATCCTTTCTGTCCTGCAAAGACTGAGTATCCAGGCCTGTTCCTTCAGTCTCTATATCATAACAAGTTTCTCTCCCCTCATTTATAGTGGCTGCCTACACAGCTCTTGTGCTCCCCTGCACACCTCCCCTTCGCTAACAGCTAAGCGGAAAGCAAGTCTCCACTCATCTCCACGATGCAGTTCAGGAGGAGAGGACAGACATATGCACCTTTTCCTCTGGCAAGCAGATTACTACTGTGATGCAGCAGACACAGCTGAATTCAGAGAAAAGGTGAAAAGCTCCAAAAAGGCAACAGGAGACAAAGCAACCATGTCTGCCCCCAAGGGGAACCAACAGCTAACAGACAGTGAGAAAGAAGGTGGCGGCAAGCTTTGGGGTGCAGACACTCCTACCCCCTCCTTTGGAATGGGGCAGAACTAAAAAGCTGACAGAATAGCAGTTTTAGAAATTGTCATATTTAATCATTGCATTGTCACACCAGAAAAGACAGCACTGACATTTGACTATGTCCCCTATCCCATGCACTCCCTTCCTAGACCATTTTCTGTAAGTATCTTCATATTTGAATTAATTGTAAACTTATATTTAGTGAAAGCAAATTAAACAATTACATTAGAAATTTTAACCCACAGAACTTCAGTATTAAGCTTCTGAAAGTACTTCTTAATCCACTTCAAACTGGTTTTGTTAGTTGAAAATGGACCCTAGTTCTCACACAACTCCTCCCACTGCCCCAGCCAGCTGCACCAAACACACACACACACAGACACACACACACACATTCTGGCACATGGTCACAAACTCAGAACTGAACGGAAAACTCTCTACTGAATCATTTTTCCAGCCTCTGAGGTACTTTATTGTTCCCTGCGGGACATTTTCCAGTGTTTTGTATAGTCTGCTTTAAAAACTCACTGGCAAGCCTTTTGTCTTTGTACTTCTACAGACCTGTAGATCCTACCCAGGTCAGGAAGTCTTAAGGGCTTGTCTACAGTAGACACATTCCAGAACTGCAGCAGAACAGATTAAGAGATATGAACAAAAAGTTACAACACAGTAATAGCCTCTGCCTTGCTGGAATAACGCCTTAATAATAAGGCATTATGTTGACCACCTATTCCAAGAGAGTTAAAATAGGGATTACTTTGGAATTTGCAGTGATTTGGTTTGGAGGATGACCACGAGGGGGGGTTACACCTATTTAAGTGTAGCTGTAATGAACCAGCTGCTCTGCTACGTCCATCCATGCCACTAGACATACCCTAGATCTTCAGCCTTCCAACCTGAGCTACTCGTAACACGAGTGGTGTTACTGCTAAACTGCTTTGAGATATGCATACTGTAAGCACCTGCAAATAATTACATTCCACTGTCATCCAGCCATTTAGCTAATACACAAAAACCTTAAACTTCACACCACAGTCATGTGGTTTTACTTTCCAAAAATCCCCATTTGTTGTATAAACAAAACTAATCCAAATATAAAGCAAAAATCAAGTAGTTTAAACTCAATCCAAGTCAAAAGCTTAGAATAAAATTAAAAAAAAAAAGGGGGCGGGGAAATGGAGGGAGCAACTGGAAATTATGAATTTTCTACTGCAGAAAATAAGATCCCAGAGGGACTATCACTACTAGCCAGAACTCCCATAACAGAGGCCACAAGATTGAGTTAGCCCTTTTTTCCTGCTCTAATCAGTTCATACTGATTTATAGCACATCATTTTGAAGAGCTGATACACGACACTGGTGCTCCAGCTGATTTCCTGGCAGACAATCACCACCCAAGACAGTGGGTCCATATGATCCCCAACTAGAGGATTACTATGAAGACACCATGCCAGAAATGCTAATTTAGCACCCTTTCAGAAAGTACAGAAAGTGTAAAGAAGTCTTAGTGCTCCAGCAGATAAAAAGCACAGCTTTTCTGGCTGTAAGACTTGCCACAGCAGAACACACCTGTAGGGCCTTGAGAGTGGGATATAGGAGAGAGTTAGCACTGTTTTGGAGAGCAAACTTCACCTTCAGGAGACACTTGTCCCCTTGACAACATTTTCTGGGAGTAAACGCTCTAAGTAAGTAATGGGAAGAAGTTTCCAGAGGGGACAGCAGCAGAAAACAGGACTAGCATCAAGGTAATTTCTGCACGAAATACCTTTGGTTTCTTGAAAAATTCTCTACCATCTTCCCTGGCATTGCACGATTAAGCAGCTTGCTGACAGTCAGTTAAGATAAAGTGAGGAAAACATTACAAGCCTGAATCTCAAACCCAGTGTTTACATCCTAAAACCATGCCCAGTCTGGAGAACAGGCTGTGGGCAGGGGAGGGGAAAGAGAGAAATGGAATTAAAGCCTTTAAGCATTCCTACCAAGGATCAAAAGAAAGAAGTTTTAACCAACACACTATTAAAATTCTTTCTTTGGTATGAACGAAGTTTGGATTACCAGTTACAGAAAAATGGAAGCTCTTAAAACCACAGAAGTCTCCTCCACCTCCCAATCTGCTGGCTCTTTATGGCTGCAAAGTGAAATTAAACAATATTCCAGATGTCAATAGCTCCTCCTCCTCTGCTGTAACACCAATTCCTCTGAAAAGCAGAACCCTTTGCCAATCCTGAGGTTCCTTGTCGCAGGCAACCATGGACAAACTAACTATACTGGTGCCATTGCCAAATACCATGTAGAATCACACCAAAATGTGTTAAGTGACATTGGTATGCACTGGTCTCCCTCAGAGAAAAGGCCCAGCAATTAACTGCCCTAAGCTTACCATATTAATTCTAATCAAACTGCTAACGACAGATTCAACACAAGCTACACACAGAATGGGGGCAGAAGCTTCCTTACCCTTTCACCAGTAAGGCAGGTGTCTTTAAAATTCTATTTGACCAAGCAGTCAATCAGCGCCACTGAATCACAAAATAAAGGCAGACAGATCGGCCCACATACACATTAGGCAGCTTAGAAATGTCTGCACAACACTAGAGTAGTGAGGTATAACAAATTAGAGGCCAGACAGTGTCAATGACAGGACACTAGGAAGCAAATGAAATATAGTAGGGAAATCAAATCCTAACAGAAACAGTTCAACATAGCAACCCAATCAGCTGGCTGAGCACTGATCAACCACTGCAAGAGTCAGGGGTGGTTGTAAGGGAGACAGGATAGAAAAAGAAAGCAAAACCCCAAAACTTCTCACTACCACACAGTTTTTATGAAGTAGCTATACGAGAACAGGTAAACCATGAACCCTTTCCAAAAGGAACTTCCTCCACACAGCAGGCATGCACGAGGCACAAGTTCCTGACAGTTCAGAAAAGTCAGTCATGGCAAACTGAAAAAATGGCTCTGTGGTCTCTCTGTTGTAACAGCAGCATGACTGGAAGGCACAAATAGTGACAAAAGCTGGCTCAACAGTTGTAGTTAAGACACACCAAGAACCAGCAGTATACCTGGCCAGATAAAGTGGCAGACGCTGTAGAAAGCATTCCTGACAAACGATGACAGGAGAAGGCACTGCACAGGGACTGCAACTGAAGCCTATCGCCTGCCTTCCAATTAAAAGCCCACAATTTATCTCAGAATTGCAGATAAATTCAGCTGAATTCAGTTGCTGGAATACAGGTGTCTTAACACTTGGTACCAGAATTTCCCACACAGCTGCACTGGGCTGGCAAACACGATGCGGGACCAAAGCCTGCGGCCTCCCAGGCTGGCAGCTGGAGACCAAGCAGGGAATCCTGACTATCCCGAACAACACTAAAAAGAATGTCTTGGCAACTGAGCCAAGCTCCTCCCCCAAGCTCAGTAAAGAATATGCAAATAAGATTTTAGTAATAGTAGCCACCTTCAATACCACCTATATGTTTAGGTTTTTTAAACCAGAAACTTCTTAATTTTCAACTCACTTCTGTTTCGCACTCTGCACAGCACAAACCAGTAAGCTTTTCAAGACCTCTGTTAAGGTGTTCCCCCTCCTCTTACCACTGAAAAAGCCATTACTAGAACAGGTTTAAAACTTGTTTTACAAGCCTCTTACCCAGAGAGGCTCTCACCCTTTAGAGCTATTGCTATCGGCAAAGCCTTTCCACAAGGTGGCATATTCCCAAGGGAGCCATATGTTACAGACAGTTCAAGTAAAAAAAAAATATGTTTGTTTTCAGTTAAAAAAAAAAAATAAAAAAAAAAGGAATGTTGCTCTTTCAGTCTGAAGTTTCAGCATCCAGTCAGAAGACAACAGAATGCAAAAGCCATGGATAGAGAATAAGTTTAGGTAACTCTCCTTAGTAGACATATGCTAAGGGAGGAACAAAAAGCAACTTCTAAACATTGTTTTTGCACTACCCGAGTTCATGTGGGCCAGAATATCATACACTACATCCCCAGAGAACTTCAATAATTACTCTGTGTAACAGGGAGGTACTTGGGCTCTGCTGCAGAGTTCTGAATAGTCACATTGCTGTGCTACACCCATTCCTCTTCCACTTCTAATAAAGGATCCAAAGCAGGGGGAAGAGGAAGGGGAAAGTGTCTGTAACTCCCTTACACAGTGTTCACACAACCAAACGGCTCTAGTGCACTCCAAAAAAGATTTAAAAGAAACACGTAGCCACTAAACATTGTCTGCCTTGTGATTCAGTGCAACAGATACAACAAACCATTCATCAATGACCAAAAAGGTTGTTTCAAAGCGTTTATATTTACGTACTACAGTAGGGGTGGGAGAACTTACCTCCATTTGGAGAGCAGCCGTGTCCTGGTCATAGTGTCCCATTATGTTTGGGAAAAAAGTCATATTGTAAGGCATTCCTGAACATCTGGAAATAGTAATCGGCTCACAGGTGAACAAACTGTGCCCTCGCACCAGAGTTAGAAGCAAACTGCAAGTCGCAGAGAATGCAAGTACTCCCATTTTGTCAGGATCTCCCAGTTCAGCGCATGGCTCTGTCCCGCGGTCAGACACGCCGCCTTCGCACCGGGGCACACACGCACATCTTCCCCTGCTGGCTCCAGCGCACGGCGAGGGCACGGGCGGCGATCAGACTCCCCTCCGCTCCTTCAGGCATCTCCCCATCCTGGCTGACCGCAACTGCACTAACCCCCTTCCTCCTCGAGCCTGTACGCTGCAAAAACGGGAAAAGTAATTAAACAGCAGGCACATCCCGCGCCGCCACCCCCCGTCCCAAGGCAGAACTCGGCCTCCTCACAGGCCCGCAGGAGACAGGGCAGCTCCGGCCGGGACCGCACCGCACCTCCCGTACCCCGCTCCGACGGGGCAGCGCCCGTGGCCGCCCCCAAACCCCCCTCCGTACCCCGCAAGGCCCGCGGCGCGGCCCGTCCCGGGGAGCGCCGCCTCGCCCACGGGGAGCGGTACGTTTGGCCCCCGCTCCCGCCCGGGCCCCGGAGCCACCGCTGCTCCCAACGCCCCGCTGTCGGCGCTCCGTTCCCAGCCCCGCCCTGGGAAGCAGCGCCCGCGGGGCCGGGCGGGGAAGCCGGCCGAGAAGTCGGCCCAGGAGCCGGGGCTCGCCTCGGCGCCGCATCCCCGCCACGCCCGGGCCGCGCCCCCGCCGCCCCC